CCCCCCTTGTCTGGCTGCACCTTGGGCAGCTGCAAGACCAGGAAGGGAAAAATAATAATAAAAAAAAAAAAATCACTGCACCGGCCAGAAAGTGCCTGGAAACTTCATCGCTCTTTATTGCCCATTTCCCATCCGAGCTCCACAACCTGGGGCCAATGCAGCCAACGGCGCCTTCGGGAAGCGGCCTCACCTCTCCGGTCTGGCTTGCAGAAGGTGCAGGGTGAGGCCCCTGTCGGGGCAATCCCCAGCGCTGGGGGTCGGGGGGGATAAGCCCCTTCCTCAGGGCAGTCCCAGTGATGCCACTGGGGTGGTGGGAGCTGCTCTGGACCCCCGGCAGGCGCAGTCCCCTTGGCGTCAGCACGGCGCAGCTCCCGGTCCCGCTGCCGCTCAGCGTCTCGCCTCGCACGCTGACACGCCCCAAGCATCCTTGCCCCAAAACTCCTGTGCCCTGGAGCAGTGGCACCGCCACCGCCTGCATCTCTCGGGGGCCACAGAGAGTTATTCTGCTCGAGAGAAGGAAGAAAAAAAGAAAAAAAAAAAAAAAATCCCCAAACCCAAACGTAAAGGGGCCTCAGTGCCGGAGGATGAGCTCTCCTCTGCTGCTGCAGAAGCCTTTGCTGCCATCGGGGCCGTGGGGCAGGCGAAGCACCCCGTCCCGCAGGCCCAGGGGCTCAGGCATCTGCTTCGCTGCCAGGGGGTTACTGGGAGGAGATTTGGCATCCGGAGAGGGGCTGCTGTGCCAGGGCACCCAGGCACCCGCCCCGCTCCCCCAGCCGCAGCCACGGGGCCTCTCGGTGCTGGAGCAGAGGCCGTAGCAGCTGCCGGTGCCCAAGCCTGTCTCAAGTGGAGGGAAGACTTTGCTGGTGAGGAGCGATCCAGTGAAGGCATTGCCCAAGTTGCTGGGCTTGAAGTCGCTGCCGGGCCAGGCAGGTGCCGGGGGGTCCTTGTTCAGGAGGGGCAGTGACGCCAGGGCACCGTCTGACTCCAGAGAGCTGCAGAGCAGGGAGTCCCTGAGGCCGCAGGGGAACGTTGCGGCTGGCGCCCCGGCCTTCCCACCCCCCCGGGCCCCCCCCCCCCCCCCCCCCCCCCCAGCCCGCGGGGAACCGTGGGGCCTCCCGCCTGTGCCTTCCAACCCAGCTGGTCCACCAGCTCCTCCGCCGCCTCCCTCTCAGCCCCAGGTTTCTTCTTGGAGCCCTTCCCGCAGAGCCGGACCACCCTGATGCTTTCGCCGCCCGGTCGGCTTTGGCGGCCGAGGTCCTCAAAGGCCCTGCGGGCGCTCTCCAGGCTCTCGTACTCCACCAGCGCGCAGCACTTGCTCAGCAGCTCGGGGAAGCGCGACGTGTATTTCCGCACATCTGAGGGCAGCTTGCGGCCTGGCCGCAGGATGCGGATGGAGGCGATGGCGCCGAAGGGACTGAACATCCTCGTGATGGTCTCGAGGAAATTCTTCTGGAGCGGCAGCAGCGCAGCCTGCTCCTGGGGCAGCAGCTCCCAGGCCAGCAGCAGTTTGCTGGGGGGGATGCTCAGCAGGGACTCGGGGACAGGGACCCGTCGCCTCACTTTGGTGCCCTCCTCATTCACCTCCAGCAGCTCCGAGAACTGCAGGGCGTAGAGCGTGAGCCGCCAGTCGCGCGTCAGGTATTTCACCTGCGGGAGAGAGGGGGCCGCTGGGTCCCCATGAGTCTCCCCGGGCAGGGACCACCCTAAACCCATCCTCCAGGCAGGCTCCAACCCCATCAACCTCAAGTCAAGGCAAGGCAACGCACTCCTTTCACGTGAGCATCCTCGGGGTTTGCAGAAGGTCCCCAGTGCCCCCCAGAGTGTGGCAACAAGCTCCAGCTTCCCTGTGTGTCACACCACCAGCGTTTCCCTGCAGTTTTTTGGTTCAGGGATGATCTCTCCCAAAGCAGCCCTGGGGGACCATGGGCAGAAGAGGTGAATCCAGCCCTGGGGGTGGTTTGAGGACTGTTGCCGCTTCCCCAGCCACCCTCCCTGGTCGGAGAACTGCTGCAGCCCACAGAAGGCAAAGAGCAGAGCCCAGCTCTGCACCACCAATGCTTCACCAGGGCACAGACAGCCTGAGCGGAGCCAGGACCTCCCCAGACACCGCATCGCAGACAGCCAGCGCCCACCCAGGCACCCGGGCATCCTCCACATGAAGGCCACTTCCCACCCTGGCTGGCCGGCACCATGGGCTGCCTACCTTCTTGAAGGACGTCAGCAGTTTGATGCTGACAAAGCCCATCTTGTTCTTCTGGACGTGTTTCAGGAGGAAAGCGTCCTTGGCCAGATTCTCGTCGGAGAGGTAGAACTCCACCTGGGACACGATCCTCCGGACCAGCTGCGGGTCGGGGATGGGGGAGTTGCAGCCCAGCAGATCAGCCCCCAAAGCATCGCTCACATCGCAGAAGCTCCTGGCAGAGCAGCAGGGATGCAGGCATCAGCTGGGGGCCTTTGGGATGCACAGCGCTGCTTGGTCTCAGCCTCAGCATCACGGTTGGCCAAGGCACCGGGGAGAGTCAGGGCTATCAGCTTTGTCCTGGCTACAGGGGAGCAACGCCAGCCTGCACCCTGCGAGCCTCCTGCTGCCGGGAGCGCCAGTGCTAGACCACGAACCCAAACCCACCCCAGACAAGGGAGACGCTCCCTCGGGGACAAACACGAGGCAAGGCCTGGGCTCATCCCCCCCACACATCCCAGCGGCCACGTACCCACTGAAGCTCTCAAAGAAGTCCTCCTGGCTGAGCAGGGCGAGCGAGCGGCTCCGCGGTGGCCGGAGATGCGGCGCCGGGAAGGAATTCCTTTGCGCTGGCAGCCGGGCGCTGCAGCCGGGCTGGGAACCAAGCCCTAAGGCCACCCCAGAGCTACGTGATGACATCGTCCTTCATCTGGGACATTACAGAGGAGAAGGACAGTGCTGGGACACTTCTTGACCGCAGCCAGCCCCAGGGCAGAGCCCTGCAGCCCCTGCCGAGGGATGGGGGAGCGAAGGGGGCTGGGTGCTGTGCCCTTACCTGCTTGGCAGCGCTGGGAAGGGTGGAAAGTCCTGGCACTACATCCTAGAGACCCGCAGGCAGTAGGCCCCAACCCTCCAACCTCAGGCTCCTAAAAGACAAAGGGAAAAGAAAGGAAAAGAAAGAAAGCAAAAACCCTTGGGGGCAGTGGGCTGCTGGTTTATAAGAGCAGCCACCCAGAGAGCCCCAGCGGGCGGTTACGGACCTGCCCCCGCCGAGACCCACCAGGCTCCAGGTGAAACCTGTCTGCAGGTTAAACAGCCCCAGCTGAGCCCTGGGAGCGGCCAGGCTCCTCTGGCCACCGCTGCTGAGCCAGGCCAGGCAGGCAGAGGAGGGGCAGAGGTACTGGTACTGGTACCCAGTGGTACCCAGCAGGGCGGTGAACTGCTGCCATGAGGCATCTCAGTCTGTGCCTCAGTTTCCCTGTCTTGCGCAGGGACAGTAACCATCACATGGGGGTGGAGGGAGGGTTGGGTTGGGTTGGCACTGTTTGGGCTCCTGGTGCTGCCGGAGTGACAGGCAAAGGTCCTTCGCCCTGCAGAAATACCCCCCACCCCAATGAGAGGGAGCAGAAGAGCCCCAAGAACGGGCTGAAGCCCAGGGAAGGGCATGGGCCCCCTGGGGGGGGTGAGGCTCCGGGGCAGGATGGTCCATAGCTTCAGTGTGAGGTGGGGAAGGAGGTCCGGGATGAAACTCATCCCTGTTGCTTGATCCCCACGTTGGGCAGCAGTGGGAGCGCAACGTGGAGATGGGGACGTGGCTGTCAGAGCAGCGGGGGGCTGCGCCAGGCTGGGGGCGATGCCAGGGCCCGGGGGGGCTGTGGAGGCGGCCGAGAACCAGGGCTGCCGTCTGGAGGGGTCGATCCTGGGAGCCTGACCCAGCCGCGCCTCAGCCCGTCTGTCCGGGCATGGGGTTGAGCTGATGTTGCTCTGTGCCCTGTGGCTACAAGGACCAGCCAAGGGCTCATCGTGCGTCCACCCTGAGCTCTCAAAACAACCTGTCACCAGACTGGCAGCATCGCCCACGCAGATCACCCTTCTGGGACGAGTGACAGGGACCGGCAACGCCAAGCCGCTCGTGGGATGTCGCACTCCCCTGGTTGCCCCGGGGGTTGGTGCATTTGGTGTCACCCCCCAACCACCTCCCGACTTGCCCTGCTGGTTGGGAACTGCACGGCGGTGAGATGGGTGGAAGAGAAAGTCCTGGGATGAGAGAGGTGGCCAAGAACGGCCCAGTTGGTGGCAGGTGACAACGCGGACACACCTCACCTGAATTTGCGACGGGAGGCAGATCCGCTGGGGGTCAGGACACTGCAGGGCTGAACTCCCCCCGACGCTCCCATCCAAGCTGTCCCTCCCTGGCAGCACCCACCCTGACGCTGCTGCAAGCCACCCGCGGCCCACGCACGGGCACTGCCCACCCCTGCGGCAGCGAGGGGCCGCGCAGGCAGCCCAGCTTCCCCCGTCCCTCGCTGGGGTCCCATTGCCCGAGCCCGGCAGCCCCCTGGCCTGCCAGCCCCGCGCCCACACCTCTGCAGGGATTTGCCCGTCTAGGAGGGGCGATGGAGCCAGCAGCAAGCCAAAGCTGGGCTGTCTGCGTTTTGACGGGAACATTTTGAGCTGTGCTTTGCTTTCCGCTTGCAGCCGGGTATGCTCGGGGTCGGGAGGTGCTGCTCAGCTCCCCAGGGGGAAATAACGCCCCTGTTCCAGCCCTGAGACTGTGTCCGAGGGAAGAGGCTCCGGCTGCTCCAGCCACCCCCGCCAGACTGGGCAGAATCCAGAGGGAGAGCGAAGCGAGCAAGGACGCAGAGGGAGAGAGACTGAGGCTGAACCTTCCCCTTCCCGAGGTCAGAGCAGGAGCAATCCGTCACTTGTCACATCCCTGTCTCACTGCTCCCATCCTCCACAATTAGTCTGGAAGCGTAATTAGAAAATGCTTTTTACAGCCCCATGCTTAGCAGCAGCCTGGTCTTTCAGGCTCTTCTCCCCTCCGTGAACTCTGGTTAATGGGCTATCACCCCCTCAAACCCGCCGCTGTTTTGTGGTGAATCTGCCTCCCTGCAAACAGCAGATCCCCAGCCAAAATTGCTTGAATTAGACTGCGCTGGGCAGATCCTGCATCTCCCCCCAACGCTGCAAGGCTGCAGCATCTCCCTGACATCTCCTTTCAGTGATTAAAGAAGAAATGGGACCACAACAATTATTGTACAGGCCTGAGCATTTGATATATGTTTATTGCTATTCAGGTTTAGCTGGGAATTTTGTGCATATCGGGTTTAGGTGGTTATCCAGACTCCTCGCACTGTGCTGCAGAGCTCCAGAGCATCTCATTTGCACGTCCGTGGTAAGCAGAAGGTGGCTGGGGTCGGTCGGTAGCGGCTGCAAAGAAGAGCCAATGCACCAGCTGAAGGTAATACCACACTCAGTGGGAGCAGGGGAGTTTAAGACTTGGTTGCTCAGTTGGTTTTTTTAGACCATCTTATCTCATCAGCAGGATCTGAAGTGCGGACTCTGACCCAGGGATTATTCCTTGCCGTTATTTACAAATAAATCCAGCTTTCTCATTTGTCTCCTGCTACTTTGATATGAGACATTTACAGACAAACATCACCCTGACAGACAACAGCACGGGACAGTAAGAGGGAAAGATGTGCCACTATACACACTGTCTTTTTACTTTCCATTAGCAATATTTTTTCAAGTGTCACAGCTACCTTGGTACCATTCGGAATGAGTAAATAATATATTTGGATAGAATATACTCTGATATGCAAATGTACACAAGGCCCCTGGAAAAGCTCACATCAAATACTGTATCATTAGAAATAATAATAATAAAAGCTATTTATGACACGGCCTTTATTCACAGAAAGATTTGCCCCAGGGCTTTGTTTTTGCAGTTTGGCTTGATGACAGATTCCCCCCCACCTCTGCCCTGTAGCCCCCGTCAGCCCAGACCCCACAGGACACGGAAAAGGAGAATAAAACCCCCCCGGGGCAGAAGCTCCCCCAGCTCAGCCCCGCGGGAGCCACTACCGCAACGATGCCGCAGGAGAAGGCGAAGCCGTACAGCAAGGGGAAACGCCACCCTAGTGCTGAGCATAGCCGGGGCCCGTGCGAGCCCCTCGCTGCTACATGGGACGGGCTGTTTCGTTTTATCAGGGTCTGCAACGGGCACGGCTGCACCGGCTCGCCCAGAGCGGGGGGAAGCGGGGGCCCACCCTAAGGCACTGCAGTCGCACACCCTCACCCATGCTCTGGATGCAGCCCCGCGGGCAGCTGCACCCTACCTTCAACATTTTAGCAGGACATCAAGCAAGAATTTTACAAAACCCAGGATGTGGGACCAGTTCCCCCCTGCCTGGGTACCCTGGCGAGGATGGGGATTGCCTGGGCAATGGGATTGCCCACAGGCATCCGAGAGCAGGGGGCAATGAACACGCTTTGCGACCAGCTGCCGCTTCCTCAGCGTCCTTTGGTATCTTGAGTTGGCCTGACAGTGTCCCAGGAGCATTCGTGGATCAGCAATGAAAAAACCCAGCTGGGGAGACACGGGAGCAGGTGGGAACGCTCGTCCCATGGTCCCCGAGCGAGCACGTCTCAGTCCCAGAGCACATACGTGTCAGTCCCAGAGCGGGCACGTGCGCCACTCTGCCGGGACCAGATGGCTGTGCAGCCTGGAGCCCTCTCCCCAGGCAGGTGCAAGAGATGCACTGTCCTGCGCTCCTTGGCATGAATGATTTGGCAAAGTCAGAGCCGGGACAGCTTGTCTTGAAAGGCTGGAGGAGAAGGGTCAGGTATTTTTCCTTCTTCTTGGGCACTGATTGGTTCAAGTTTGTATCACAGTGAAGTCTGAGAAGTGGGGAAGAAACCCAAACCACCTTCCCTGAAAGAGAAAGCCTCGGTTGCCCGCCTTGCTCAGGCTGGAGAGGACAGCCTCTCCTAGCCACGCACATCCGATCCGCTGCTGACCATGGAGGCTTCCATCGCTCGGTCGTAGACTTTGGACCTTCGCCCTCCAGCCAGCAGTCAGTCGTGCTGCTGGCAGCGGGCAGGAGGAAAGCAGGCAGACAAACCAGCCCCATCCCACCGCCCACCCAGGCTCACCCTTCCTCAAACACAAGTAAACATAAAGAGAAACTAAGAGGCACTAATAACGCAGATACGGGGAGACTCAGGCTTGCGACCGTCAAACCTGGCTCCGGATGTCTTCGTCCAGCTGGAGAAAAGCCGAGTTCCCGTTTCAGATCTCCTGCAGCGAGTGGCCGGGGTCGCTGCGTTCCCGTTTCACCAGCGGCTCCCCCACGCTCCGGGATTCCGTGTCCACCTCGCTGCCCAGGTCACTAATGTCATCTGCAAAGGACAAGTCTCAGCATCAGAGTGGAGACGGGAGGGGAAGAGGTCCTTTTTCCCAAGAGAGCAGGGTGGAAAAGCCAGCACGAGGTTCCCCCTCCCACAGCGATTCAATCCCCGACCCAGCGGGCCTTCCCTTGAGGGAGAGGAGGTACCTTTGTCCAGCAGTGTTGGCGACAGGGATGTGAGGTCACCAAACTGAAAGAAAAAGGAGTTACAAGGTAAGCGAGGCTTACGGAGACCCGAGGCGCCAGACCTGCAAGTTGGTATCTACTTCCAAGCAATTCTAACAAGCAGCTTAACCGCTCAGGAGAAACCACAAGCATCAGCAGTGCCGGTGGTGAAGAGCAGAAAGCAAAACCAACCACGTGTTCTGGGGAAAAGCCTGTCACTGCCATTTAAACCTCTGGGCAAACACCACACACAACAATCCAGGGCAGAACTGAGCTCGAGAACGAAGGGAGAAATTTTTCTGTCTCCCAAGTCACAAGCAAGTACTGTCACAGAGCAAA